GTTTGTCTCCTTTTTTTTAACTTTTCGTGTTTATTTTATCAAGTTGCTTTGACTAAAATTTTCTTTTATGAAATTAGTTTAACTTGAATATAAATTTCAATATAGAAACACACGTAAAAGGACTCTTTATAGTGCACTCTTTTTGTTTTTATTCACAGCAGTTTTGTACAAATTATATTTTTTTAATAATATTTTAAATTTCTCTAACAATATATATTTTTATAAAAAGAAATAAATTTGTTTAAAAAAGAAAATTTGCTAAAAGTGAGGATTATAATTTTACCATTTATTTTTTCTTCCGGAATCTGGTTATCTGGAAGGTCCATACTTTAGATCGTTAATTTAACGAGAAAGTTAAAATTACCTCGATTATCGCGTTCAACTAAAATGTTTTTTTATGATCAAGTTATTTGATCAAAGAATTGCCACTTAAAAATATATACGGTGGAAGTAGGATATCTTGCGGATAGTAGGATATATGTAGTAGATATTTAACGCCTCTGGAGTTATACCGGCTTTGATATCTCAGATTAACGCACGTTGGGGCATTCGGCTTAAAGGCGTAAGCTTGAATCATATGGTAGCGGGGAGAACCGTGTCACTGTATCTCCGCCCGATTGTGTGTAATATGCTTTACGGGCATCCGGTCTCCGGTACAGCGACGCGGTATCAAGCATCCGGTAACCGTGGCAAGACGACGTTAAGGGTACCCATTGAAGTGCGCTCCAGCTTGATTAATGTTAAATCAGTGTACGCATAAAGTCTTAAGTCCGATCTGCCACTACCTTTTATGTCCCTTTTAACAATCTGTTTTTTTCTTGTTTTCTTTTTTTACACTTTAGAGTATGTGACCGATATGAGTGCAGAAAATGTACCCATAAAAGATAATAATATTTTACTTCGCTGCTTTTAGGGCAAATACGTTTTTTCTAGACGGGTTAGCTTCCGTAGCAGAAAGTACGCTGCGTCTGAAAGCAGCGTGAAAGCGTTACATGCAGAAGGGATAGCAAAGTAGTTAAAGTATAAAGTAGGCTATCGCCTTTATCTTTCGTTATTATCGTGGTTTGATCGAAGAAGAAAATTTCCTGAAGAAAAATACAAATTTTATGTGATATTGAATTTGTTAATTGAAGTGAAAATAATCAACACATGCAGCGTATGCATTTTTGTACGATTCTTTTACGACAAGAGTCTGTTTATTTAGAAACTCCGGAGTTTTACCTTTTAATAATCTTGGACCGTAGAAAATCGGAGAATGTCGGTTTAATGCGCTAACAGATTTTTTTGCATACAAATGCAAATTAGAAAGATTAAAACAGATATTGCTTGTTGTCCGGAAACTTGCGTCGGCGGTAGGACCGTGTCCAATTTTCTGTAACGGCATCAAGTAATCGAGTTTCAGATAACTGAAATTACTTTTTAAACGAGAAACATTGCCTCGCATGCTTGTGCTGATAACGATGAGAAACGTCAGAAAAATATCGTAAAATTTTATGTCCGCGCGACGACAGAACCTTATGTTTTCGCCTTCGATAGCTGTAGACCGTTAAAATCGCAAACGCCATGAAAGTGGTGTCTGTTGACTGGAAGTTATAAGTAGAATATTGTGCATGAGTTCACTCGTTTACACGTGAACCGAGAAAAAAGTATCACTATAAGATTTATTGCGTATTTCCATTTTATGACAGTATATCAACAAAGCGTAATATCCATCGGTAGCGCATATTTCACGAAGATTGCCGCGCGTATATCTACATAATTCGGTGATTCGGTGATTCTGTAAAATGTGTCTATCAGTTTTACAGAATCGCTCATCTGATATCGCCGATGAAACATCAATGAAACAATGAACAATAGGGCACATCTGTTATTTTCAAATAGAAAATAATGTCCTCTGTCGATAAACATGTAAATTAGACTTCAGATTTTAATAATATTCTATTTATTATCCGTTTTTATTTCGCGCATAATAGACATTCTCTCATTTGATGCGCGTGCGTCGCATCATCCGGTATTATACTTGATAAAAATTTACCATCGATACGATACTTTCTATACATTTATTGACGCCATTTATGTATTATGCACGCATTCAACTTATTCCGCGCGCTACGGAAACACTTACCGCATCGAAGCAATGTTCGTAAATGGCGATTGCCGAGTTCCGGGAATGGATTGTTTCTTCGTCTATCGAATATACGTCGATAGGTTGTCGTATACAGGAAAAGGAATCGGAGTTGGTATCCATACGCTTGCGGGCATGCTGTGCGAGTTTGCGACGCGGCACAGACAAGGAAGTAGACGGAAATGTTAGTGTCAGCAAATGTTTGACAGGTTTCGGAAGGGTTTATCGTCTGCGTTTCATAACCTAGATATGATTTCACGTGGCGATCGTTCGGAGACATTCGAAAGTTCGCTGTTCTACTTTCGAACTTGTCTTTGCTCGCGTTAAACGACGTTATATTCTGCGTTGTGAGTAACGCTTTATAATGACACCTGAAATTTTTTAAACTTAATATTTTCAGTATACATTCGATACATTTTTATTTAATTAGCGTTCGGATTTTTCAGTTGACAGAAACGCGATTTCAAATTCGTTAAAAAATCAGCGGCTGACAGATAACCCGATATTTCTGGAATATTATAACAGGTATTACATTCGTTAACGAGATGTTTACCTGTATCATACGTTTAGTCAATGCAGCAACACATGCAGTATGTAAAAAACGGCAGAAACCAGCCCTCTGTTTGTGTACGCTGCATTCTCAATTTACAGACTATTGCGTAATTCTCCGCGCGAGTTTTGCGTTCGAAGTTATGACAGTTTTTGCATTTTTCCACGTGCGAGAATCAGCTCCAATTATCTCGCACAAAAACACGGGAAAGAGGGATGGAAAACGGGGAAAAAAGAGAAGAAGCGCGGCGGTCGACGAGAGAGCGGTTTGAGCCAGGCGCAAAGAAGCCGGAAGTGGTCGAGGCAAAGAACCGGGATTCGGGGAGATTTAATACCAGATAGGATTGAGAGGAACGAACAGGTCGGGGCGGTAAACAGCGGCCCTAAAAGGGGGCGGAATTTGTATTTTGTCATCCCTGAGCGCGTATGCATAGCTAAAGGCCGTGGTATGCAACAACCGTGCCCGAGGGGCGTGTAAATTTTAACGGCATGGGTACGTCGGCAAGATGGTAGGCGCGTACTATCACTGGCATGTGTTGCATCCGCTGGCCGCAGGTTTCCAGTACTGTCAGGACCGCAAAATTGTTCCAGACAATTGTCTGGCCTGTGAAATCGTTTTCGCCTGTTGGACGCCTGTTCTTTTTCGCCGCGAAGCGAAATGAGGATTGCGTGAAAATGCATTTTGCGAAAGTGTATGCATATTACACCCACGTCGCTCTCTTGTTTGGCTTAAAATAGTCTGTGTATTACAAACACAATATCTAAATGTATATTTTATGTATATGTATATTTTACATAAATATTAAATCAGGACGACTAACGCAAAAAAAAAAAATGTATTAAGATATACTGTAAAGTAAGACGGTTTCGTAAATAATGGTAATTTATTAAATAAGAAGCAGGAAATTTTCTTATCACGCAAGAGTTTGAATTTTTATTAGACGGATTTACAGATTACTGCTGTGCTATTGACGAAAAAAACTGAACATTATTTTTCTAATTCTCTGTAGATAAACTGAAAATAATAAGTAAAATGTTCTATAATTAAAAATATATTGTTTTATAATAAAATAAATATATCGTAAAATATTTTTCTAATAAAAGTCGATTTTAAATTTTAAGAGAAGTTTGCTTTCGCTTGTGCATACATATATTCGCTATATATTCATGCTACGCCAATTTTGGAAAATCCAACATAGAATAGTTGAATACTGAAAAAAAGGAAAAGTAAATAAAATAGAATATGCAAGCATGAAAATAAAACAACTATAAAAATATATAAACGTGTACAATCTAAACTTCAAAATATGTCACTTCTCCTGAAAATCTTTTTCGTACCTAACATTCGCTGGAAACGAAATCGAGCGGAAAATCACACGCGGAAGACAAAAAATGTGTAAAGGGGTTAACGCTGTCAGGTTTACGTCGCGTCTGCTCGTTTCTCACTAGATTTGATCTGACGGGTGGGATTACGACGGTCATAAAGTTCGAAGTTGAGCGACTGTGTCGCTGATGATGCAAGCGTTTATTAGGCCGCGTTGCGCGGATATTAAGCGGTACTCATTGCACTTATGCGGCTGCAAGAAGGGGATGGTATCGCCGCCCGACGAGACCGCGATTGCCACCTTTGTGTTTACGATCGGAGGCGGAGAAGATGGTTTCATCCCTTTTCATCGGCGCAGGACTCTCTTTCTCCCCCTCCCTCCCCCCTCTGATTCCGGCTCTCAGTCTCCTCTCTTCCGCGACACAATGAGCTTTTGTTTCCATTGAAAACGACACCGCTGTGTCTCGCTCAAGATATTAATCGGGGCGAAACTCTGGTAGCGGATCAACCGGCATTACGGACGACTGTGTGTGCGTGCGTACGTATACGCGGCAGCGACCACGGCCTGATTGAATCGTAAATTACCTCGCGGCGAATTATTCATGGCGCGCTTTCGTTTCGGTAGGGCGCGCAATAATCCAGCCGCGCGTTTTGCAACGCGTCAATTTTTAATGCCGCTTCTCGGTTTCTCGCGCAAGATTTGTCACCGTCGCGCGGCCAGCACGCCATGCGTAAATGTACCCACAGTGTAATTATTAATTATAAACTCCTCTCGGTGGAATTATTTATTAGCATCTACGTGCAGTCGATAAAGCCGATCAGCAAAAGCCACGGAATAAAATGAATTGGCTTTTGCGAACGGGGCGAATAATTCTCTCTCTCGACTGCATTTAAGAAAAAAAATGTAACGACGGCAATGCCAATGATTTACTTGCAGCTATTTATATTTATTTGTACAATTACATTTTTGTATAATTAACTAATTTATCGATTTATTGGCAGGAGGGATCTCGCGGTGATCGGAAAGAGGGGGGCAAGAGGGGACGCAAGCCTGGAAGGAAGGCGGCGGACAAGGCGGACATGAAAGCTAAGCTTGGTAAGTAGCTCGTTAATGCCGTGTAATAATTTATATATTATTTTTGCAATTGATCAGTGAAATAATTATAAATAAATAACTAAATATTTATAATTAAAATAAATTGTTGATCATAAATTGCATAATCATTAATTGTCAATTAACATCTGGTAACGTAAAATGAAAGATGCATGTTAATTTATTGAATTAAAATTATAATAAAAAAGTAGAAGCATTTTCTCATTAAATGATTAATAATTCAATTAAAATTAATACATATTTTTATTATTTACTCCATGATATTTGGCTAACAATTAATATTTTATTACAAATTATAGTTTACTGTTTGCTTAATGACCGCAATCATTAATTACTGATTTCATCACATTTTGCCTATTATTATTGTTGGGCTATTAAATGATGCATAGACGATGTGATAAATCATCGCAAACTATTTGATTTCATTCGTATTAAATCGGAATGCATCTAAATGCATTATTTAATACAAATGTCAGAGATTTTTTATAGAATTATTAGTGTTTGAGAAAAACTTGACAATTTTGAGTGGGAAAAATTCGCACTGAAAGGAAGAATAAAGCTGAAGGAAATAACAAAACAAATATGAGCGACTATCGGCCGACTGAACTGACTTTATCTAGCCGGTGCCTCGCGTCTCAACGCTTCTGTAATCCAAGGTGTGAAAACTCGCGTAAAATAGAAAGATAACGCGCTGTACGAGACAATGAAACGGACATGACCAGCAGATATCGGCTACTCGCAGCGGCGCTTTATGTACGTGCTCTCGCGGTGGCATCTCGACGTCGCCTCACTGTCTCTTGATTAAAGTGCATGATAGCGCGGCGACAGCGTTCCCGCGACAGCGCATATCTGTTGATTGCGCGCGGACGACGCCCGTTTCGCGTCGCTCGCTTGCTCGTTCACGCCGTTCGGTGCGCGAAAACGCGAGTCGCGTTGCACGAACGTTTATCTCTTTCGCAAATGAATATTTATATCCAGGTCATCCCACGGCGCTGCTTCTCGATGCCGGCGAACGAGGATCACCAGCCGTGGCGCTACAGCGCGGCGTAGCGTTCGGCTATTTTGCAATTCCGTCGTTTTGCCGACGCGTAGTACAAAGGCGGGAGGGAAAAAGCGGAGTGGAAGGAGAGGCGGGATGAAACTAAGCTCGCCTTGCCGTTGCTGTTATCGCTGATGTCGTGGCTATTGCGCGGACCAGCGCTAAGTAATTTCGCAGGGTTATTTCTAGAACGTGCTGGCTGGCGCGGTCCTTTTATTCAGCAGCGGAAAACTTTATAATCTCGTCGCTATTTCGTTTTCTCCTTTCTTCCGGTTCTTTTCGACCGCGATGCGACCTTCTCCGCACTACGTACGTTGTTCAATCTATGCAGGATGTCCTGGAAACTGCACAGTGTTCTCCCACCTACGGACAATTTGCGGTCAATATTGTTCATGGCGGGAACTATGCGGCCAACTATTATATTTATTAGTTTTTAATTATGCAGATAACGTTTTTGTCAGAGTTTAGAAAATAGCAGAATTAATTGTGGAAGGGCTCTATTGTTTACCTATCTTTTCAGCATTAGCGAAAGCTTGGTAACTTTTAATTTTGAATAACTTCACAACTATCGACATCTCGTTATTAAGTCTTTAATGAAATAGTTGAAATTTTTAAGTGAATTACGCTTGCTTTTTTATCACAAAGTTATTATTCTGTTCATAAGATATTTTTGTAGGTTTTCCTTTGATATCATGAAGAGTTGTTTGTGAATTTTCTACTTCACTGTTCACCGCGTTAATGGACTATTTTTATTGCCTTCTACATATATTGGCCAATCGCAGTCCGTTAAAGAGTTAAAGTAATCGTATTTTCTTCGGCTTTACCTCAATCTGTCTTTAAAAGGACATTCGGTGAATCTACGGCAACCTGCATATCGACGGAAATTGCGCATGGGTCTCTTCCGACGCTCGTTCTTGGCCGCGCAAACGAGCGAACGAACGAACTTGAGAGCTCCATTTTACCTTATACAGCTGACGGAACCAGCTTTATTTAAGCCCGCTTGGGGTTCACCTCGATTCGGTCTAGATGTCGGCCGTCGCAACGAGATCCTAAATGGAACCACAAATTGACTGTGCGAGAACGCTTAATTTCCGCGCCGCGCTAGTATCGATTTTCCAGGCAGGACGCCGATCGCGCGTCAACTCCAATCGACGTCAACGAATCTCTTTTCGATAAAATTCACGGCATCGGGCAGATCGATGTTCGCGAAAATTCGTCGGCTTGGCCGCGGCGAGCTGATGTCCCTTAAAAGTCCGTAATAAAACGAGCGACGTTTATCGCCGCGTAAAAGGCTCTGGTGGTGAGCCATGAACGATAGCACATTCGCAAGCACATTTCGATCGTGAAAGATCTTTTATTATATTCGGCGCGCAATGATTTTCACGAAGGAAAGAAATTCGACTATTCAAAATCTGCTTAACAATCCTACTGTCTGGAAATTTTGATTCAAGAATCCTCGAGTCTGCAAAGTCGCAAATCTTGGAACATTGTTGTTTGCACGCGACAGTCTTAGAATGCAGGAATTTCAAAAGAATTCCCGAGAATCTTAAAATTAAAAAATAAAATTTATGAACAGTTAAATTCAAGGGATTTTATGGTGCCAACGATGTTGTAATTCAAGTTGTTCCACGCTAGTTTCGGCTTTCGGTTGAATTCGAGCTCGTCCGACATCTGATATGCGATAAGCATTTATTTTCCTTGTCTATGTTCGAACAAAATCATAGCCTTACCGCCGTCTACGTTCGCAAAAGTTTCCGTCGTTCGGTCGCACATGCCGCGGCATTACCATGCGTCTTGCGCGTTCCGCGACATTATTAAATCGTGAATTCTTGTAGAGCTCGTGATATATATCTGCCGCTTGGCCTGCCATTGTGTCACAACCTGACGCCTCGAAAACCAGAGAAATTTATGCTAGCGCGAATTCGGCCGAAACTTTCATCTCGCCTTGGGAATTCGGTTCACGCTTTGCATGTATCGATTTCTAGTATTAATATGAATCTGCGTTTCCTCACCTACGACGCTTTTTCTATTCTTGTTATAGAACGAAGCCGGCAGAGTGCGAGGGAGTGCCGTGCTCGCAAGAAGTTGAGATATCAGTACCTGGAAGAGCTCGTAGCCGATCGGGAGAAGGCGGTGCTCGCTCTGCGAAAGGAGCTCGAAATGGTGAGTCTTATAATTAATCCTTTCCATAAACGTGAATGAACGAGAATTGGAAAATATTGGGAAAAGAATTCGTGATCTTTTCTTCTACAAATAAATTATGGTTTATCAATAAGGATCAATTATACGCTAAATGGTAAAACAAATAGTGGAAAATAAATTTTGCCTTTTGAGATCTACTCCGTAGACTTTTGAATCGTTGTTTATAATTGACATAAGAAATTTATAACTTTGCTTGTATCAATTCACTGCGTAACGTTCAGCAAACGTAGTGCACATTGAAAGAGAATACATAGAAGTAAAGCACTTTCTCTTGAAGCGCTCATATTTTTCTTTTGAGAAAAATATACGTTTCAGAGTTTTCAAAATTAGTTATATCTCGAACGTCATAAAGCAAAGCAAATTCTTCGGAAGCTGGAAACCCACGTAACTTCTTCCTTCCCATCACTTTTCTCATCGTCTTCCTTAATCTTTCCTCGAAGTGCAAACTAAGTTACTCGTAAAAGTGTAAAGTTCTGGCGGAATACAAAGGTTCGCTCTTTAGCAATACGACTAGGAATATTATTTGCATCTGACATTACTTCTGCAGGCGGAAAAGCATTCGCATTTGTTAGAGTCGCTTCACATGGTTATCTGACGGATTTTTATGGATCTTTTGCAGCGAACTTTATGATAAAAATTGGCATTTTATCTGTTTGATTACGTTCGTACTTGATAAAATATGCGTCTGGATATTTGATATTACACAAGATTTGAATAATAAAATAGAAGACAAAGGTTGTATTTATAAAGCGCTCGAAACCAAGAAATCACATTATCTGTCTATTGATTATTGATTGGTCGTGTTCATCTTTCTCCTTTTCTTCGCTGAACGAAATGCTCCATAACGAAGTGCTCCGAAAATATTTGACGTCGATATCTTGCGAAGGCTAGTTTTACTGAAAGCCTTTACACCAACGAAGCACGAATATCGCGAGTAAGAAGAGCAGTTGAAAAGTTCCGACAAGAAGCACTCCTGCACATCCATGAAACCGCTCCCGAATCCTTCCGATTCTTCCGAAGATCTCCAGCGCACGACTTATAGCAGTTACGATGAACAAGGTCCGGCGGAGCTTATGTCCTTTACACGCCATCGTTTGTTATTTTTCTGCAGTATCGTCAGTGGACACTAGAATTGGATGCCGGACAAGTCCCCGAAGGACTGCAGACGATGCTGGAGGAACTCGGCTCGTTGAAACAGGAACAGTCCAGCAACAACTAAGCGGGCAAGGAGGCGAGGAATAAGGAAGTCACGCGGATCGAGCCGTTCCATTTATCTCGTTTCTCTGATCGAACCTCTTTCCTCCCTCTCTCCCCTCGTAGTCGAGTTTATTTTCCGTCTTTTCTCCTTTTCTCTTTTGCAGTTTTTCAGGACGATAGGAAACAATTTGGCTGCTGAATTTGAATTTCCTTTCCTATCTCATCGTTATTTTTTTTAAAGAAAGAAAAATTATCTGATTTGCTTTTTGTTGACGATACATTTTCTATCCGCGTGAAAGCGAGATTTCCTTTCCTTTCCTCCATCTCCTTCTGACTCTTTCACGAAAGGCGGAATCGTCGTCTGATTACCTCGTTACCTCACACGTTACATATTTTTTTTTGTATGTATGTATTTGTTATCGCGACTCGTTAAGTTGATCCATATTTTTTTACTCACGTTGGTTAAGGACAGTGATTGATCGGTCGGTCGGTCTGTCTACGGCCTCACGCTTGTAATGTACCTCCCTCGCACGATTGTTGCGGTGTAAGAAAGTAATTATAGATATATCACTGTTACGCATCAAAGGGAAAAACGATCGTTGTGTATCATAGAAAGTCTATATTCAGTATTGTCTGTTCAAAGTACGTCATAGCGAGAGGTTCTCGTTGACTGTTTGCCGATTCGTTTGAATTATATACCGATATATGGTATTCGTTTACCGTATGAAAATCATCATTTTGTACAAATTAGCGCCATTACAAAAGTTGAATCGTATATGTGTACGAAAGAGTCTATTAGTCGAATAAAACCGATATTTTTCGATGAAAAATTATTAACATTTATCGTTCCTGCTTGTTTCGTTTCCCGCAAATTCCCATGCGAAAATCTTCGAATTTTACTACCCGAAAGCATGGCGTTTGCGCCATATGAAGCTATTATTTTCTGTTGAACAAAAATGCGAATTTTTTTTACATTGCGACACAAGGAACACGTATTCGTCGGCGTTATTTCGAAATCACATTTTGGGCACCGTGATTCCACGTCGCGCTTTTACGCAACGAGAATTTGCATATTTTTACGTGAAATATGTCGAGCTATGAAATCTCCGTTCCCGTTTACGTAGATTGCGGCGCATTCACCCGCCGATATTACCCCTTGCGTTCATCCAGTATCATTCGGCGGTCCGTTGAAAAGAAGATAAAAAAAAAGGTAGATCCGATCTCGTCAGTTATCGCGACTATGTTCGGAAATTTGAAGTGAATTTTGTTACGAAATTTGTTATGCAATTTGGCTGGAAGCTTTTAATCAGTTCGAGCAATAATGGCCGAGCTTAACGTCACCGTGTAGTAATAATTGCAACGATAACAATGTTATAAACGGCGGCATCGATCGAACGAAATGCCACGAGTAAGAGGATAATCCGCTGCAGTAATTTAATGACATTTTCTATTTTTTTGATCCTTGAACGAATTACTGGTTTTTTTTTGCTCATTTGCCAGTGCATGTATAAGCGGTGAATGTATCAGATCAATTTATTCAAATATTTAGCTTCATGTCCCTGGAAATGTTGGAAAGCGATATTTGCGCGAGATTTTGATTTTGTGTTTTTTGGGAGCTGCTATTGATATGAATGGCAGGTAACGCAAAAAAATGGGGGGATTAAATTTGCACACGTTCAGATAGAATTTTCATCAAATATTACATTTGCATATCATCTGCCTTACTGCGATACACGCTGAATCAGACTTTATTTTTCTATTAAGAGAGAAAAATCGATTTTCACCGTCGTTTTTCACGTAGAACGTGGAAAAATTTTGTCATAGAATGCAGATTTAAAAAAATCACATTGTTTTCTCCATGAGCGCAACAAATCTGTGTTAGGCGGAGTGTAAGGTGGAAATATTGCCCCGTAAATATGAAATTGTACTAAAGTACCGAGTAAAGAACCGAGTGTTTCGCATTGTTATTAAGCTCGCTGCATAGTACATAATATACTTTCTAGCGCAACGGCTTTAGTTGTGACAGTGTCCGGAGATGATATATTTTACACGCTGTCTGAGAAATAACCAACTTCTGGATAAGAGATATTATATGGGCCAATTCTGTGTCTCTGGTAAATTATATCGCGTAATATTACTAATGCTAGTATTATTTATTACATCGAACGTAATAAGAGATGCGTAATCTTTAAAGAAATTTCTAAAACGTTTTTTTCTTCTCAGACTCTCGATCAAGTTTTGCATTATATAATTATAGATAAAATTGATTTATATGCTCGGATAAAATTTCACTTATAATTTTATATAATGGAAAGCATTTGAAGATTCGAAATACACATGCAAGCATTATCATTGATACGTGTGCGTTTCTGATTTTTCAAATTTCGTTGCACTTTGACACATAAAATTATAAATAAAATTTTATTCCTATCGCGAATTATAAATCGCCTAAAATAAGCTTCACTCCACGTTATATCTGCAACATGACGTAAGACATTTTTCGCGCTAGACTATAATCGCCTCGTATTTTCAGTATTGTTCCCAGTAGATCTCATTTGAAGCTCATTCGATCCCTCGTAGAGAGATGCCCCACGAGGATCATTAGCGACACTTGCGTAACTCATAAAGGACTAGCGATGCATGTATACGTATCTGCAGATACGTGTACATCTCGTGCGGACGGATAACAACACACAATTCCGCGCACCATAAACCGCGGACATTCAATTTCGATGCCGCGGAAAACGCGGGGAGTTCTTGCCAGATGGGTGTACAGTCGGACAGATAAACGGACGAGCCGATGTGTCGGGTGCAGAGTTCATAAAATGTGGTGTTGCGGTGTGAAAAAATAGCGGCTATGTTTAGAGACGTGGAAATAAGGAGAAAAAATATGGCTATTCAGCAGAGCGAGGAAATATTTGCGGCCTCTGCCCCTTTTGCGACCGGGCTCTCGCGTTGCTCGGAAATTTATTCCGATAGCCATGTCCGAAAATATTTTTGGCCGGTTTCCTTTCGTTTTGTGGTCGTAATGTAGAAAGAAGTCGCGGAATGGTTCGTTGCGTTTGACATTTATAGCGCGTCTCGCAACTTGCGGTTTTAATCTTGGTTCTCTGATGAATTGGGAAAACTTGATAAAAATGTTGGATAGCTAATAATTTCAAAGCGAATTTATTGATTTATATTTTCACGTATGGGCCGAATTTGAAAACTAGATAAGTGCTTATAAATAATATTTGACAGCAGAAGAAATAAAAAAGATAAGATACGAGCAATATCATAAAGCAACATCGCGGTTTTTCGCGACTCCTACATTTATGTATGTACAATTTCTTAGGAGCTGACACGAACTTTTAACATATGTCATGGGAAATTTTATATCCCCTGACATATAAAACAATATTGTTGAATAGTAAAGTACAAATTTGGTCAGAAGTATTTTATAACAAAATACATTTTTTGTTAATTAATCAACTCATCGATACGATTTATTTCATTAAAGAGATGGCTAATACAAAGTTGATAAAATGGTAACGAGAAGAGTAAGTAAACGGGAAGCTATTTTCTGAGGCGACGCGTAAAGCCTGAAAACGTGAGCTGAGAAGCGACAAGTAACTCTATCTCCGCGTCTTACCGTCTCTTCTTTTTTTTTTTTTATTTTCTCGAAGAAATATGCCTTCGAAGGAATGATATTTGCGGGTATTATCGTGCCGCTGCTGTTATTCCAAACAGTATTACGCGTAAGCAGATCACGACATTCAATCTGTGATGTCTCGCCTGTACGCAAACAGGCGTGATGTTATAGGATTCGAGTCGATTATACGTGCGAAAAATTGAATTTTTAATTATAAATTATCACTGATTATTTTTCAAGTTAAAAAAAGATAAAAAAATTATTTGTGAACGGATTAATATTGATCAAACAGGTCGCTCGCAAATTTGATTACACATCACGGAGATCGCAGTGCATTTAAATAATACAATTTAATACTAATTTATATATTCTGCATTTAGCACCTGCAAGAACCGCGCAGAATATATTATTCCATCGCCCAAAAATGTGATCTGAAAATTTTATATAGGCTATTTCTCGATTTTGATGGAACCGAAATATATCAGTGGGATGTGTTCTGCACACGTCTATCTTTGCGTAGCATGAAAAATTGATGCTTCCCGAGATATGCGGTGCGTCAATTCTCTCGCAGAAGATATATTTCTAAGTTAAATTTATTTTATAAAATAGCTGAAAGAAAATGTTTTTTAATGTTAGGAGTAAATGATATTATTTACATTTGGCATGCTTCTTTTTTAAATGCTTCGCATACATTGTTTTGCCCAAAGCCGCAAATATCACGTATAAGTATCTGCTATAAAAACACGCTCGTGATTATTTATGAAATATATGCCGGCATAAATTATGTATGAAATTATGTAAACTTACGGAGGAATTCTGCTTCTCTCTTATATTATGAAGCTTTACGGTGGAGTGTCCCCTTTTGGGTAAAAAGTAAAGTAAGGACGTGTATGGATGTCACATATGACATACTTCACCTTTCGAATAGTAAAAATCATGATGTTGAATGATTAAACAGATTATATACAACATAATTTATAATACTAAACATGAAACCTCGCGAGCACGTTTCATAAAATTTTAAACTGATTCTTAATTTATGCAATTACGTACATTGGAATATATAATTATCTTTTATTTAATCGTAAATTTGTCACATTAGAAAATTAACTAAAAACTATACTTTTTTCAATTTTAAAAATTTTGCCGTTTTCTCTCCAATATGATTTAATTTAAATATTTAAAAAAAAAAATGTTTTTGGTCATCAAAAATTGAGTTAAATTATAGATCAATCTATACTTCATTTATAATTCTTAAGGGATGGAATATGTGTGTTGTTTTTCTATGGGATGACCACTGACGATATTTATGATGGACTGAACGAGATGAAGCTGAAGGCACTTCCGCTGATTCAATCGCGTTGCGAATATAATATTCACGAGGTCGATTTCCGGCGAACCGGTCGCTACATCTAAGTGCTCCGCGATAACCACCAGCGGTTGTGTACATTGCGAGAGCTCTCGACAGGGCCGAGCAATCAAGGTTTACGATTGACCGAATCGTAAACCCGCTTCTACCCGCGACGAGATACGATTCTTGATTGTATAAGTCGAACCCGGAGCCAGTGTTGGCCAAATTCCGTACAAATGCGGCATTAATTCTACCACTGCGCACTCCGTAAAGCGAGTGGCTCGCTGGTATCTCTTGACGCCACCTCGAGGCACTGCGGAGACTCCTTGGCTCATATTTGTATCGCTCGAAGTCCGAAATTTCTACGAGATATACTTGATCCATCCTTAGAGAGAGACTTGGCTAATCCTAGTTCACCTTAGACGCTCTCTGCGCGCTTAACTGTTTCAAACATAGCGCATTAGTCACCGGTGAAACTATTGTGTAATGAATCGTATTGATATACTAATTCGTAATAATTACAGAATTAAAACTTTTACTACAATATATACATGTATATATATTATATATATGACTTGTTCAACATCTATGAAATACAAACATTTCAATAAATAAGGCAAGATTATAATTATAATTATTTGAATAATTTAGGATCGCTATATTTGTTTGAATTATTATTGGAATAATTATTTGATACTTATTTATTTAAATATCATATGATATAATTTTCCAAATAATGAACAATATTGTTCGTTATTTGGAAAATTATCACGCCTTATTGAATTAATAGGATTTTATTACTATTCAAATATTATGTATTATATTATACAATTGTTAGCAATTCATTAATATTGTATATACATAATTATATTATTATACATATTTTATAATATTATATAATTATGCATAATTATTTGAATAACTATTAGCACGTTTCTGAATACTAATTTCTGAAAACATAACTATTTTTTTCGGTCAATTAACAGACAATTAACGAAATGACATTTATTAAATTTTTTATTGACTTGTACGTAGGAAAAAAATTTTAATATATCATCGCGAGCCTATTTCACTAGGCGGAGTGACGCGAGCGTGCAAGTAAAATAATGCACCATTTCCTTTTACTCTTTTCTCTCTCTCCACGCAGGATGCGGCTAGAGAATTTTCCTAACTTTAGGACTTCTTTTTACTCCGCGCCTCGCGCTCACTTTGCGGAGCACTCAGGAATATCGTCCGCGAACTTTTTGCAAATCCAACAAATTCCGTCCGGGAAACGCGAGCGGGCCGGGCGAGTAACGCCGTCAGGCGTTTCTTAAAACGGCCGCGAGGTATAACTCGCCGGTTTCATATTATACGTTGCGCGGGGCCCGTATTAAGGGATGAAATTTATAGGTCGAGTTTCTACAGTAAACTTAGCCGATATCTCGCCGCGAGGCGAAACAAAGAGTAGTTCTCTTACCGGAGGTTGTGGCACTCCGCTGCCTTCGTAGGCTCTCTCGAAGGTAGTTTCCTCGTTTCCGTCACCTTTCTTGCGCCCCTTTACTCTCGCGGCTAGTTTTTCTCACCTTTTTACTTCTCTTTTTGCCTCCACTCGCGTCCCCGTCTCCTCCCTGTTTCTGCGGCGGAGTGTCGGCCGAACGACGGTAAAAAAAGCTGAAAACTGCAGCGGTAACGGCGCGCGGTAAACGCTGGAAGATGGGGGGAAAAAAGTAGCTGGTTCGGAGATGTCGACGTGCGCGAAGAAACCGGCCGTTCATTCAGCTCCACGATTCGACAGAGGAAAGAAGCTTAAATGGTTTTTCCACGGTCGAATCCGGATCTAAACGTGTCGAAACTTTTTAACGACCTCGTTAGGCTTCCGCGAATACCCGGGAAATTAATTACCCACGAAAAGCCGTCCGCTCATTTACGGACATACGACGCTCCCGCTTTCTTTTTCAACCTTCTCATCGTTCTTGCTTGATGGCTGCACATTCACACGTGAATCTGGCCTGGTGACTGATTCGGTGACTGGTCGTCGACGTTTTTTGCGTTTTCTGCAGAAGAACATAAATTGGTCCTTTTTGTAAAATTAAAGGTTCGTTGAAAAAATTTAAATCTAGAATAATATGCATTTTACAATGAATTACTAATGAGCGATTAACTTTACTCTTTTTTTCTTTCAACAAGTTTTTTTGAAACATTCAACATTTAGAAACGTATATTTCATGGAATGTCAAGTTAAAGTTTTATTTGACGTTTACTCTGATATTCTTGCACTGTAGATTTTCGTCGGAAAGTTCGTCGTAGCTCTTGAATAGTTTAAATTGTGAAATGTTAATTTATTATTAAATTTTGGGAAAGGTATCGAAATAAGTGAGAGAACACGATCGCTTTTGCAACGACGGCGTTCGACCTGCCGTAGATTTATTTTAGATACCAGTAACTTTCAAAACCTTATAGGATATTAGTTACGAGGCTCGCGTTTCGTCGATCCTATTCTGCTCGCACGAGAATGGTCGTTAAGTCGGTCGAACGAGATTCTGCAAGAGATCAGCTCTATTAACTCTCCTGATTGTGTTACCGTTGCGTGAAATAATAAAGCTAAATGAAATTCGACGTTTTGCACATTTTACCGTGTCACGTACCATTAATTAAGCGTAATATTACCAGAGAACCAAAAAAATTGTAATTAAATTTTTGTTTCCTATATTGTTTAAAAAACTTGCGCATCTGTATGCGTTTCTGACACTTGTTTTTATTTTGCAAACCATTCGCGTTGAAATGAAATTTGCCACGCAATGAAACGAGTTAACGACCATATCGTCGTGGCACGAGGGAAGTCGATGCGTTCGTCCGAAGCTCCGATGTAATCACCGAGCTCGTGGCAATAATAAAATTTCGGTGCAAAAACAGTTCATACGAGAGCGGAACCGCGTGAGATAAAAAATCTTTCACCGACCGGAATTGTATGCGACGGTGTGGTATATAATGACGGTATAGAATTTAAAAAAATCACCGTTCAATTCGATAAACGCCGACGTATACGTGATCGACGTCAACTTCGATCGTGCAAAATCGTGTAGGAAAGGCCCGCACACAGTGTCGAGCAATCGTAATCCATCCGACTTGGTCGGACGTTCACTCAGGGATCCGGATTGCTTCGCGCGATTTAGCCTCACTCGCAGCTCTCCTCGTAGATCATGATTGGTCAAGCCAACCATCTGGAATCGTGGTCGGCTAAAAAAAATGATTGGTTTTGAAAAAATCACGAGTATTGCTCGACAGTGGAAACATGTAAATTTTTTTAGCTACCCATCGACGCGCGACTTTGTGTGCGCTTTGCATCTAGATTAAAAAAAATCGAGGACACCCGATGACCTGGTTCTTCGATCCAACATGGCCGGCTTGACATGTCGGAGAAATAATATGTTTTTCGACTTCAGGTACCATATGTACAAGTTGTCATTCGAACACGCATACACGCATACACGCACGCGCGCCGCGTGTCACTTTCATTCAGTTTCACACTCACATCGCGTTTACTCGTACTCGAATATAATTGTCAGCTTCGTCGCACGTAATCGGTCGTGATGTATACATAATATAATTATTGACTAGGACAGTTTTTTTGGTTCCGGCTTCGACGAGGAAATCGCTTGAGTACAAATTTTCATTAACATCGAGTATGCCCGTGCGGCTAAATTGTTAAACATTTATACAAACGCGTTGGTCTTCGTATCGCAGTGATAAGGTGCGTGTTTCCGCCTTGTTGTCGTGCTAATTCCGACGTTCCGTTCTTTCTTTGTGGCCATTTTTCAGCCGCATTGACAGCTTGACTAAGAACTAGCTCGGCTCTTTTATCAACCGAGCACGCAAAACACGCTTTCTCATTCAACCATCGCATGACGAGTGTACGTATCAGTACCGCAACAGTATAATTAGGTAGCCATAATAATTTTAAATGTTATCGTAATTTTCGATCATTTCAAAAAATCGTAGGTGTCCTCTTATTCGTTAAGACTTATCCCAAGCTTAATGTCAATTGCGAAAAGAATTGCCATCTTCTAAAATAAATGAATAATGATTAGAACGATTTTAACATAAGAGAGCGTAATTATAACAAAATTACGATGCAAAAACTCTCTTTCGAATCACTATAGATAGATACTATTGAATTTGCATATGAAACTTGCAAATTGATGTTATTATTGAGTACGTAGCGTAATTTTCCATGTATTTCATCATGTAGCATATATTTGATTTTGTTTCTAGGATAAGTAATTAAATTGTACAATAGCTCGCCAATAGCTCGTTTGTATAATCAATAGTACTACAATAGCACTACCCATGCTAGTGTGAAATTAATGGACGATCGCTTCATTAATACGTGCCATACCATTATTATTGCCATTATCGATTAAGTTGGATATTGTTGATAAATATGATGAGGATTATTCCAGAGTTATGAGGCAAGTCAATATATGTTGGTTGAATTAAAGCTTACAAATTGAACTTTAATTCATTTCTAGGAGCAACTAGCTATAATTAATCAATCCCATTTCGCAATTTTTTCTCCCGGGGCGTTGAGCTAGTCGCGTTGAAATTTATTAATAACTGGTATTATCGATAATAACGGAGATTATATATAGCGTATAACAAATGCGCAGCGATAATTATAACGAAGAGAATTTTTAGACGTACGAAGCAGATCGATGTGAACGAAAGCTTTAAAAGACAAAAGCATAACTCGCAAGTTAGATTTCACTTTACTTCTACGAATAACTTAGAGAGCCGATATATACCTGGTCGATCTAGTTGCAATTTTTACTCGCGGCATTGAGCCTGCAGTCGCGGTACTGACATATCCACTGGCCGTCTCGATATCCTTCGCGAACATTCGCATCTCACGGTTCCGGGATCTCTGGCGGAAATCGAGTTTATCTATCTACTTACGTACAAAGATGAGAATCGTGGGGAATAACGTCGAGAAGGATCGAAAGGAGTAAAAGTGAGAAAGAGAGAGAGAGAGAGACAGAGAGAGAGAGAGAGAGAGAGAGAGAGAGAGAGAGAGAGAGAGAGAGAGAGAGAG